CAAGTATATTTTGTATAAAATTTTTGTTGACAGGAAGGTCTAAGAGACCTATTATTTATTTCAGTAATTTATAGGAGAACTTGAAACGTCAACAATTCACTACTTCTACTGTATTCATACAATTTGATATAGGGACCGAGGTTACATGGTTGAATTTCTCACTTCCTCTTCCTCGGTCGTCTTCCTCCTCTGTCTCCCGGGTCCTATGGTACAAGTTGTGCTTCTTGGTGGGCGGGTCCCACCCGGTCCAAAATAATTAACAATAGGGAAGATTACAACCGACTAAAACATCATTTCGCTACCGGCATACATAAGAGGGAATTCATGTAATACGCTACACATTAGGATGTCCCACTATGCATGTCATAATATAACATGACCGACAAACACCTACTATTCACAGTCTTTGTAACAAAATACAACGTGAAAAGACCACGTACTCTTGCCCGAGACCATGACCTTTGACGACTGCGAGAGTCTGGCAACTCTCCGACCGAGATGTCGAATGAGAAGGGTTGGTAGCTGCTGCCGGACTTGCTCTCGGTGACTGGCCTGTGGTGTTCCCACCGGTACAAGTTATAGATACTTGTCGGTTCTTGTAAAGTTGATTTCTATTAAATCACGGCGTTCGCCAAAGTGAATCCTTGACAAAGTAAGTTAGATAGGTATTAAAATCCGGCCCTAATTGATCTATTGATACATCGTGAAGAGTCATAAATGGTAAACCATTTTTTATTGACCGGGATAGAATAGAAAACAACTATGACCTGTAAAAAAGGTTTCTACGGCAGGAGTTTGCGTTCAAAAGGTTTGGATCCTTTTCCTTTAGAACAGCAAAATTTAGTTTCTATTACCAGGTAAATACAGAACCCAATGAACGTTACCACAACATAGGGGAAACTGGGTTTTAAAGTTTTTCCCCTTCCAATACATTTTACAGGTCTTATAGAATTAAGAACTTAAAACAGAGAAAATGCTACCTCAAACCCGTAAGGGGGTAGGAATTTCCGGGAATCGGTAGTCTCCACACCACACGGCCACCAACGATCCTCTTGTCTTTGCCCTGTAGGTGGGGACGGGTTGGAGTTTTTGGCGGTCTCCTTGGACGTACTGACAAGGGAGTTTGTCTCCATGGTCCACACTTTTATATGTGCATAATATGAAGCCATGTGGTGTCTTCTTTTTGTTCCTGCGTGGAGTTTTGTGGTGAGAGAAAAAGGTCTCTCACCTCGGGCCAGGGAGCCAACCATTGGTGGTACCCAGATCCCAAACAAAGACTCTCTCTCCAGGCCGGACCGAGTGTCCTGTCGCAGGTTGGGCGGGTCCCTCCGTCGGGATTTTCAGGACCTCTGGCTCCCTCGAACAATGGTCTGGCTTGGTTAGGTTGGTTGGTGGGTGAGTCTTTATGACCACCTGAGTGCTGACTTCCATTTTGTTGGTTAAGGCACCCATAGATATTATAGTGACAGTTTTGAAAGGTTAACGACAATGAAAATACATCACAGTAAATTGGAAAGACCTAAGGGAGGATATTAACACACCAAAATTACGACTCAAAATTTGGCTCCAGATGGTCGAGACACCAAGAGTCGTCTACGTTTTTCCTTATTAGGGACAAGTTTTTGCGTCTTTTTGGGATTGGGACCAGGGACCTTTTCAACTAAAGACCGGTACCAGTTTCTTTCGGAGCTTTGAAGTTGGTGACACTGATGATGACGAAACCTTTTCGAACTTTACACAGACACTGACGTCCTAAAATGATCTCTCAAACTACCCTAGGCCTCGTTCGCAAAGTCTCCTCTACTTCCAAGTTTCTCGGGGAGCGTGGAACTCCTCCTCTCGCGAGGTACGGTCGCTGCCAGACGATGTTAGAACAGGACCAGACACGGTGTGTTTTCATTACGTGTTACTTGTTAGACGCTTTTACCCAAAGCGACTTACATACTCAATACTGTGGATAATCCTCACAGGAGCAAATTGGGGTGAAGTGTCTTTCCCAGGGACACACTGACAACGACATGCTAACTGTAGTGGGGTTTGAACCTGTGCCCCCCTGCCCCCCAGACACCTCCTTACTTCACATCTTCCTATAATCCTGACCTGAAAGTGGTTCCCATCGGGGTCTGTAACATCACAGGCCACTATGTCTGTATGACTCATGGTGTAGCTTCCTGATTGGTTTGTTGGAGTGCCACCCATTGGACTGGGGGTTACAATGGGGTCGGACGAGTACACACATTTCCCATCACTTTGGATCTGTAGGAGCCCCCCACTGGATGGAAACACCTTGGAAACACAAGCATACACAAATAATCAAACATGTAAATCAGTGTGATTGTCAATCTTCTTAAAAGCAGTAAAGTACGGCACATCCACATCCATCTATCTTGCAACAAAAAAAACACACCCTGAAATATGATTATTTGTTTTTGTTTAAAAAGCGATCATTCTTCCCCTGTAGCACTACACACAGGGCCAAATATTATAAAGTAAGTTTGAGGGATGTTACTAGTGGACCATTATTATTACTAAAGATATACCCAAAAAGCTTATATGCAAACCTGTCTATAGTTAATCATAATTATCATTTTCGCAGAATTGTCTGGCAATGTTTGCAGTTTACGTTTAAATGTTAAAAAAAACATTTAAGAGAAACATATACAATTTAATTGATTATAATTATCTACAAGTTGATGTTGTGACAAATAGTTGACTATTTATTATAGGCAAATGTATTCATGAAGAGTCTGACTTGGTGCCACATGTTTATCATATCAAGACTGACACTGTGGTAGGTAGCAGATGAATGAGAAGATGAATACAAAAGTAGAAAAATGCTGTAATCACATACAAATCCCACCATAACATTAAAAATAGATGTGTTATTTGTCATTTACTACCCACCTCATATGCTCCTTGGTTGTTCCCAGTGATTACAGTCCCATCTGCTAAGAAGACGTGAGCCATGTGTCGCTCTGGGTACATCACCACTGTGCAGCAGCCCTCCTTCTCCACCAGCACCACCCGCTCCTTGGCAGACACACTGTCCTTATTGCTCTCACATGCACTACTCTTACCATTGCCAGCCACAGTGTCTTCCGCAAACACACTCTCCTCACCGTTCTTATACACACTACTTTCTCTTTCATCACACACATCCTCACACTCAGTCCCACCCTCCTTGTCACACGCTGTCCTTGCACTGTTGCTGCTAATGTCTTCACCGTTGTCAACAGCATCCTGAATATTTTCAGAAATGCTGTCAGCACAGCGCGTGACACACACACACTCAGATTCAGTGGTTGATTTAAGGGTCTCATGCTGCTCCCCTGGAAAGTAACAGACAAATGGACTCAGGTCAGATCAAAACAATAACCTTAGTTTAAAGATTAAGTACATCTTAATGTGAATATGCTTGTGTGTTTTGTATGTATATTCTGGTCACCTGTGTGCAGCAGTGTGTGCTGTGGTGTGCTTGGTGGTCTGTGTTGGTACAGGCTAGTGATCCTGGTTCCGTCTGCATGTTCTACACTTAAAGATCCGTCGGGGTTCCGGACTGAAACCACCAGATCCTCACGGGTCAGCATCAACTGACGAAGCAACACACGCAAAGATGCTCGGACAATTATGTTGACATAAGAAACAGATTGGATGTATTGAAATACAGAAGAGCACCTCCTTGAAACAATGTATGCCCATTACTGAAATTAACATCTATATTCATTGAAAAAAAGGAAACTGAAAACCTAAACTTCTACTGCTCTCTTACGTCATGGGTGATGGGGTCTGTGGCCTTGAAGGCGAGGAGAGGCGTGGTGGGTTTGTGTTGGTGTGTCGTTCCCACAGTGTAGATGCGAGCTCCAGACGGACTCGTTGTTAACCAAAAACCTCTCTGACCACCAGCCTCCTTCTCTGAGCTCGGCTCTGTGTAGACACACATAAAACATACAAAGTTTGGGTTTATCCTGTGCTCAGTGATTATCGAAGTGTTTTCTATTCAGTGGTGCTGCACTCTAACCTTTCTTTCTGTCCTTAGTTTCTTGAGACATGTTTTCTTCCTCAACTTCAGAATCAGGAACCCACACCGGACCAGAATCCTGGCTGAAGCTGACTGAGCCATCAGCAAACAGAACCTGCAGTGCACATATGATTTGAGATTTGAGTGTTGAGTGTTGAGTGTTGAGTGTTGAGTGTGTGTGTGTGTGTGTGTGAGTGTGTGAGTGTGAGTGTGAGTGTGAGTGTGAGTGTGTGTGTGTGTGTGTGTGTGTGTGGTAAAAGAAGTTCAGGTCATACATTGTCAAATAAGAAGTCATACATGTGTGCACAATGTTTACCTCTGTAGACCCGTCTCTCATGATTCGGATCACAGCTCCCTGGCTGGTGACAATGCGGGACAGTTCTTTGGAGAGGGAAGCGTCCTGAAGCTGCCCAACAACTCCTTCACCATGAAGAGGAAAGCTCTGTTTCACCAACATACCCTGCTCCTCTGAGGACACTCCTGGACACACAAATACAAATACATATTTTCCAGCGAGTGATGGGAATACAAAATGTATGGAATATATAAACTCACATTTTAAGGCAAACACATTTAACACAAATCACTATCTGCAGGTTGAGTCTCAAATAATTTAAATGGAATACACAGAATGCATTAAAACATTTTTTTTAAATTAAAGCCACTTAATTATCAATAAAAAGGTCTTCAATTTAATTTGATTTGGTTTCTCTCCGAGTGCAATAACTACCAGTGGCAGGGCTATTTCACCTATTCTCACTTCATCGTTACACATGCAGTTTTATAAAACTACACTTGTGAGAATACACACACCTTTGTCTGTTCGTGTATACTTTTCAGAAAAAGTGCAACCCTGACCTTGTGCATCCTCTCGCAGGAACTGCAGCAGCAGACCGTTAGGTACAGACAGGCTGAGACTGTTGAATGGACTCGATGGCAATACTGTCTGACCTTCACACACCTTAGATTACAATCAACCACAAACATAAGTTATGACCAATACAATAATAAAAGCAATATAATCTTCACATGTAGCACAAGATACAAACTATAGGTCATTTCGCCCAAGATGGTTGTTACTATTTCATATCGAGTCTGGAGACCAATTTAACTTTAATTCTTATGGTTAAAAGGTTGTTTATGTAAACATGGACTCTCAGACTAGACATTGGTTTAAATTGAATACATAATAAGATAAAGGTATTGTATTAAAAAAAAAAAGTAAGCCATTGATAAGCCTTTGTTTAAAATCGTATTTCCGTGACTGTATTAATTTGTGCCTTCTTGTGAGTTTGTGGAACCTGGGACAGTGGAGGTCTGGCAGGGTTGTGTGTCTTGGAGGGAACAGAGTCCAGATCTGTCCCCTTAGAGCAGTAAGTGGAGGATGGGGGAGGGTTGGGGACAAAGGTGCCGGTATCTGGAGCCCCTCCCTCTGTGGTCTCCTGAGGACTCACTAGGATATCACCAAACAGAAATACAGTTAATACTGCCAAAACGGAAGTCAATTCAACCCTTTGTTTAAACAAGACACAATAACAGGAATATTCAAAGCACTGAGAGGGTCCATATTCAAATTATTTTCAATTTTAAGTAAAGCTTGAAATATTAAAATACAAATGAATACCTCTATATTCTCCTGTTGGACCGTAGAAACTGTATGAGAGATGAATTCCATTGTCTAAGACAGCTGAGAGGGAGCCCTGTGTCACTCTTTTCACAGGCTGTACGGGCTCTGACACTGAAAAGGACAAACACACAGGCACACAAAGAGGGACGTTCATCAGCATGCACGTTTCATCATTAAAATGTACTGACAGTACTTAGGAGTGTTGATTTACCAGTACAATTGTCTACTGTTCATGGTTTATTCAGGACAAACATGTTCAGTTTAGGATGATGTGTTTTCCAGCTGAGACTTTTTAAATATATTTTTTAGTTTTTTAACAAAAGTTGCAGGAAATATAGACATTTGAGTAAATCACCTCAAATGTGTACTCAAATACAGCACTTCAGTAAATGTACTTTGTTAGATTGCACCACTGGATCAAAAATAATTTAAAATGTCCAAACGGGCCAACTGTCTGGAGTAGGAATACCATCTGTACCTTTTCCGCCATTGGTTTCTTTGTCTTGGGGCTGAAGGAGAGGTTTCACTAGATCAAAAACAACTTTGTTGATGTGTGTGCAGAAATAATGTCCATCCTTCTTCACAGCCAGTTTCATTAGGATGGAACCTGGAGTGAAAACAGAATAAAACGCATGTGGACAATGCACCCATCCAGCAAGGAATAGCTGAGTCGCACTTTGCTTTTCACAAACCCCCCC